CAATAGCAGGAATGGAGAGTATAAACACAGTTGGATCACAGAAAGGACACAAGAAGAGGGAAAGGAAAGCTTTATCAGACAGCTAAATCCTGGAATTCTGCCTTCTCAGATTGGTGTGGTGGGCCGAACAGGAGCTGGAAAATCTTCTCTCACAAATTGCCTCTTCCGCATTTTGGAAGCAGCTGGAGGAAAGATCTTAATTGATGGACTTGATATAGCAACACTTGGCCTTCATGATCTACGTGAGAAACTCACTATCATCCCACAGGTAAAAGAAACCCTAGAGCACAGATGTCAAACTTGCGGCGTCGTGTTACTGTCATGTGATGTTTCGTGGAGTTTTTTTCCCTTTGCGGAGCTGGGATGGGTGTGGCCTGTGTGTGACACCTCCAGTCCACGGGCCACCAGTTTGACAGCCCTGCCCTAGAACATCTGTCCGAAAATGCTGGGATACAGAATTTGACAGGTTGGTTGCGTGACTACTGTACCAAACTCCATCTGGACATTGCCGGTAATGTGGGAAGATGGGATAAGGGAGGTGTTGCTTTTTTACCAGCTTGCAATTACTACTTCCTTTGGAGTAGGTGCTGACATGGGATCTAGGCAATTTAAACTACCCTTTTGAATTCCAGAACTGAGTGAAGGAGGCTGAAGAGCTGAAGAAATGTATTAATTTTATTATTTAATTACTCAATTCAACTTATTAAACTCAATTATTTAAAAAGCTAGCTAATGCTATAGCAACTTCTATATATAGGCTGGGTTTACACAACATGGCTTATCAGTTAAAGAGCTGAGATGTGTCTATGTGATAAGATTAGTTTGTTCTGCAAACCCACACCATTTGGTTAACTGATGATACAATGTATTATGAAAGGCTAATTAGCCTACACAATAGGCTAATTCAGCTACTACATCAGGTGTATTATCTGCTCTCGGTGTAGCTGTGAGCCTTGCAAGGTAGCCCAGACAAGAAGCAAGCCTAAGAGTAATAGCTTTATTTTTATGGTAAATTATATTAACCCCTCAACCTTTATAATCTAAGAATTAGGGAGGGTCACTTCTGAAATGTTTGTCAACTACCCTTTTTTTGTGGATTCAGCTGCTTGTTATCTGACCATAGCCTAGCCTGCAGATCTTCCTTCTTTCTCCCAAGGTCATTCCTGATACCATTCCAGTAGCGGAAAGCAATTTCAGCTGGTTAAATACTAATACTTCTCTTCTATTCTCTTACCTCAACTTATCTTAACCATACTTCTTAATCAAACTAGCCTTGACCAAAGTGCCTTGTATCTACATTTTCAGGATCCTATACTCTTTTCGGGGAGCTTGCGTATGAATCTGGATCCATTTGATCAGTATTCAGATGAAGACATCTGGCACACTTTAGAATTGGCACACCTGAAGTCCTATGTACAAGCTCTACCTGAAGGATTGTCTTCTCCAGTGAGTGAAGGAGGAGAGAACTTGAGGTATAGGAAATGAGTGAAAATGGCCAAGAGCTGGTGTCATACATGCTTGAGCTATTCAAGCGCCTCCTATTTAGTGTTATTCCCTAGTGGAGTCACACAGCCTGGCTTGATGGATGGAGAGTGTTATCTGGACTGATGTTCATTTCAGTTTCCTCCCCAATTATTTGCATTCATTTTGGTAGTGGCATTAATAATCAGTTTTTATTTGTGTGTCCCTCTTCCTCTCCACTCTCCAGTGTGGGGCAGAGGCAGCTTGTATGCCTGGCACGAGCCCTGCTTCGTAAATCCAAAATCTTGATTCTGGATGAAGCAACAGCTGCTGTAGATATGGAAACTGATCACTTGATCCAAGAGACAATCCGAAGCGAGTTTGCCAACTGCACCGTAATCACCATTGCCCATCGGTTACACACCATCATGGACAGCCATAGGTATGTGTGTGTGTCTGTGTCAGTGAGCGAACAGGTACACAGCCAGGAGCGGAGTATTTCTATCCTGCACACCCAAAAGACCATGCAGAATAGCTGTGGGAAGCAGCAAAGGAATCCATGGTAGAGAATATTATGCTACAAGGATAGAAGTTCTGCCACAACAGGATTGTGTGGAGCACTCCAAAAAAAATCTGTAGTAGAATTAGTTAAAATGCAACTTCTTGCATGCACACTCCTAAAAGAAATATAAATATAGAGATCTAAAAATAACAAAGAAATCCAAGGAAGTGTAATCTATTTCAAATGTACATATGTTGAAATAGGACCAAAAAACCCCAAGATTTGAGATCTATTAGTATTATTTTTTTTTTAAAAAAAAAGATGGATTTCTGAGATAAGACAGCGGAGAAATACTTTGGCAGGCAGAATATATGTTTTAGGGGGGAAAAAATCAATGCATACTTAGCCAAACAACAACAAATACTTGAAAACCAGAATGTACCTGTTCAAACCAGCTAGTTTTCCCCTTGAGGAAAGCTGTTCTCTTCACATTCGATTTTAGCCACAAATTCTCAAAAAAGTAAAAGAGAATTATAGATTTCTCTTAAGTATTTTGAAGTTTATTTTGTATGCATGGCAAGATGGTAAGCTGCTCCAAAAGCAGTATTAGAAAACATGCCATGATCTCACTAAATTCATTTTACACCATCCAGTAGAAAGCAATAAAGAAGGCACAGAAGCTTTCTGTTCTCAACATTTTGGCAAAGCCACCAAGCCTGTGCCTTGCAATTTGCCACATAAATCAAAGTAATACTATGGTATTGCCAATTGGTACTGACCTTATAAATGACATAAATCAGTGAATCCGCTCTTGAATGCAGGTCAGTACTCATATGATGAGGTATAAATCAACTACAGAAATGTCTGTTCCTATTGTAAATAAAAACTGAAAAAAGCAAGCAGGAAGGGAATGGTCAGCTTAAGACAACTTTAAAGACATTAAGAAATGTGTAGGCCATGTGACTACATAAAATTCTGTATCATATGGATACTATTGGTTCTCAATAAGACAACCCAAGAACATCCAAAGAAATTGAATGGTGGAGGATTAAAACAAAAATTAATTGAGCTAGGCACTTTTCTACCATCAGATGTGAAAACAGCTATCAAGTAAGTCTAAAAGTGGATTAGATAAACTCCTAGAAGATAAAGCTATGATTGATGATCGTTCATGCTAACTGCACAGGGTTCCAGATAGTATGCCTCTCTGTACCACTTGCTGGAGAACAACATTTTTAGGAGGGTAATAGGTTGGCTTTCCAGAAGCATCTTCCAAAAGGGTTCTACATTTTAAAATGTAAGAGTAATTTATAACTGTCTTTTATTTCCTTCTTGCCATTATATAAAATAAAAAATAATCTGGGGATTGGCATCTAGTGAAAGAAAGCCCAACACAATATTCTGGAGAGTAAAATATTGTATTGTTGCTGTTTCCACTGTAAAGCTCCAGACTCTTACTGAGATCATTAGCAGGAGCAGTTAAGATGGTTAGAATACAGTCCAAGTCTTGTTGTACATTTCACTTGGTTTCCCTTTTATCATTTTGATTCCTAAATCTATACTTTCTTGCTGAAACTGGATGGATAATATCTAAATCAACTCTTTCCCTCTGTTCACCCTTTCAAAATTATGTACTAGGCGATGCATGTAAGTACAGGTAGTCCTTGATATATGACCACAACGGAGACCAAAGTTTATGTTGCTATGTGAGAAATTCGTTACGTGAATATTGCCCCATTTTACAACTTTTCTTGCCACATTTGTTAACTGAATCATTGCAGTTGTTAAATTAGTGACACGGTTGTTAAGCGAATCTGGTTTCCGCATTGACTTTGCTCATCAGAAGGTCACAAAGGGCATCACCTGACCCAGGGACACTGCGACCATATAAAGGTGGGTCTGTTGTCAAGCATCCAAATATAAATCCTGTTACCATGGGGATGCTGCAATGGTCATAAGTGTGAAAAATGGTCCCAAGTCCCTTTTTTCAGTGCCGTTGTAACTTCAAACAGTCACTAAATGAACTACTGTAACTACCTGTATTGAAATGTTCCCTAATTCATATCGCTCTTCCTGTTCTAGGGTGTTGGTACTTCAGGAAGGAAAGATTGTAGAATTTGACAGCCCTGAAGAGCTGCTTCAACGGCAAGGCATCTTTGCAGGGATGGCCAGGGAAGCTGGCATAACAAGGAGCCAGGACACGGCACTGTAGAGGAAGGCAGAAAAACCACCGGCAACCTTGATCAGCCTCTGGCACTGAATGAAAAACATTACCAGCGCTGCTAGTGTCATTAAACCCCTAAAACACAATAGTTTACCGAGCATTACCCGATACTTAAAGGCAGCTTTATTATTTTTTTTGGTCAGCGTCAGCATGTATTGGTTACCTGGAAAGAACTTGAGGTTAGGCATCATGCTAAAATGTTACTACAGGATCACTATGGGAAATCAAGGAATAAAATGTGGGAAACCATTCTGAGCAGTCCAGATTTCATACCCTTCTTGCATGTATGTTGTATATCGTTTTTGAAGGCTGGCTTTTGTATTATTATTCTTAGAGGCACCCCCTTCCCCAATCTGCTGTCTTCAAGATAGGCTGAGTTATTGTCCTCTATGCTGGCTGAAGATCTAGGAGATGCAAGCCAACAGTGAGAGATAGCATAATAGTGAAGCAGGCTACTAGCAGATTATTTTTCAACCTTTTGGTCTTTATTAAAAAAAGATTCCAGAAGTTACTTTGGACTTATCAAAATGCTTAGAGTCTTTGTAAGATAAATCTCTCTTATTTAGTTGTTGATATAAACTTTTGCCAGTTATCATTGGTCTTAAAAATATTTTTAAATTATTTATCAAATATATATAGCCACCCATCTCCCCCAAAGGAGAGCTGGGCAACATATATAATAATTCTCAATAGCCTTTAGTTAAGATTTCGTGAGTATGGAAAATAAATTTGTATACTAGGAGAAAGGGCATTGTTTCTGTCCAAAATAAATACAAGTAGTTTGAGAAATGTATTTTATTTACATAACAGCAACTCAAGCAAGTTACTCAGGAGGCAAAACACGGTTTTTACATTCTGCTGTTTCCCCCAGAACATAAATGTTCTCCCCCTCCAGCTCTGACCTGAGTCAGGGACAAAAGAATTGCAGCCTTGCCCTGTCACAGATGCTGCAGCATGCAAGATGAGCACCAAACCTGCCTAAAGTTGAACCAAAGAATTATTTTGCCCAACAGCAAACTATGTTAACTAATACTGAGACAGGGAAAGGACACATGGAGTACTTGCTTCTTGGTGGTAACACTCAGCAACTTCTCTGAACTCTTGCCCTGCTCTTTGGCTCACTCCTTACAGGGCTGAAGATAAAAGGGCAGAAATACTAACAGCTGTTTGCCATAACTATTAGTAGATTCAGCTATACCTTTGAATATCAGCTACTATCAGCTAATATCGACAACAGTAAGATTGGGCCTCAAGAGGCGATTTCATTTGTTTGTTTCTTTATATCTTGCCTTTATTATTTTTATAAATAATTCAAGGCAGCAAACATACCTAATACTCCTTTGGTGACTTTTCTGAAATACTGGACTAATAGCAATAGCACTTAGATTTATATACCACTTCACAGTGCTTTACAGCTCTCTCTAAGCGGTTTACAGGTATATTGCCCCCAACAATCTGAGTCATTTTATCTTAACTGCCTCCCTTTTCATGCTTTTGCACTAATAGCCAGGTATCTCTCGGCTGCATGATTTCCATCTAGTTTACAATCCAGTTAATGGACTGAATGTCTACCTCAAATGGAAATATGAGCTCCACACAGCACTGTTCACAGAAGACAGGGCTGTCTCAGGCTGCACAGCAAGAGCATTGCATCCAACTCCCCACATAAATATACTGAAATCCAAACTTTCAGAGGAATGGTGTGGGTGCAAGAGTATGGCCTTGCGTGTAGTTATAAAGGCATCAGTTTTTGACCTCTCTTACTCCAGCATCTCACGTGTATTCAGTCTTGCGAATGTAACTGGATGGTACATAGCCCCGTTTCCCATGTGCCTCTGCAAGCCACCATTCCTGGTTGCCAGTTATGTCTTCAAATTGTAGAATCTTTAGTCTTTGATTGGCTGTTACACTCAGTTCATTTGAATTGCGTCCCTTAAAGGTATAAAGGGCATAATAAATCTGGAAGCAAAAAATACAGGAAGGAGGTAAGACAAAACCAATTGCTATCTTTACTTTGGGCCAACCAGAAACCACTATGCACCTCCCAAATTATTATTTTTATTTTGTGACACAATACTTTGGGACTTCTCTCTCTCTCTTATAAGTAAAAAACCTAGATCTACATAAATTTGCATTTCTTTAAGCAAAGTGTTAGGCTATGTTAAATTCTTCCTAGTCATCCAAAATATTGCATTACTAAGAAATTAGTTATAAAAACTAGCTAGCCGATTTAGAATTGATATACTGGTCTTGTTCAAACTATGAAGCAGAATTTTGTTTGTCTTTGTCCAATGCATGAATCCAATCAATTCCGGCTTTTGGTAAGCCATGATCAAACGAAATTTAAAGTATATGAATCCGGCCATTAACAGCAATGAGCATGTGTCTACATATATGCTTCTGTCTCACTCACCTGACTTCCCATGCACTCACTGCTCTTCAGCCTTAAGTTGTCCACTGATGGGGTTGGCTTTGCCTTGTACCGGGCTTGGTGCCCATTTCGTGCATCTGGATTACTGTGTCGCCGAGATGATGGAGGATAGCGGGACGGCTGTGCAGATTCCATAGCAGGACCCAGCTGGAGCTGGCAAACAGCATCCACCTCTGAGAGAGTCTGAACAGAATTAATCGGGTTGCCTGGGATGCCAGAGTCCTGTGGAGGCTTCTGGGGGCTGTTAACAGATGCGATGGTCAAAGTACTGTTTGGTGTACTGATTCCATGGGATGAGGAAGAACCGCTGAGTTCAGATTCACCAGATGAAACACTGCCCAGAGAGACATCCGAGTGGCTACAGCGTGGATTGTAAGGTTTCAGAAAGGAGCTGTACACAAAGCCCTTCGTTACTGTAGAGATGGGACAAGGAAGAAAATAATCACTAATGCTAAGCATAATAAAGTTGGAACGGGACTTGGGGCTGAGGTTCAGAAACATTTCCACTCACCTCCATTGTCAATAAGCCAACGGTTCTGGCTGCCCATCGGATCCTTTTTCTTGAGAACACCCACAAGATCCCCCTCCAATAATGACACATCCAGCTCTTGAGCTGCATTGAAGTTACGCTCAGCCTGAAACAGCTTCTCAGGAGGATAGCGGGCCAGGAGGGCTGCTCGCAGTTCATCTGACTGTAGCATGTAACTGGGCTAAAAGAGAAACAACAACTCCAGTGAGGGGAAGGGAATAAAATCCAGGCATCTATAATTCTTCATTCAGACTCATCTTTAAAACAGTGAGTACCTTATTAGATCAGCCAAAGAGCTTTGTGTACTATGGTAATTCAGTTGAAGCGTTACATTTTAGAAGCTCACAAACATGGTTGAAGGGCTGGGTTGTTGCTCCCAACAATGGGCTTTTAAAGTATACTACGGTACTTAGGATTCAAAAAGTAATGTACAACCAGTGACTAGTAATCACCGATAGCCTGAACCTCCCTGAAATTATCCAACCCTCTTTTAAAACCTTCTACCTTGGTGACTGTTAGCGTATCTGATGGCAATGAATTCCACAGATTCTCTGTTTACTCTTCAATATCAGGAAGAACGTATTAAGCCCCCAGGTACTCTTCACTCTGACCATACTGATGTTAGTGACATCATTCCACCTATAAGGGCAGCCTTCCACCTCTTGTTACTCGCAAAGAGCTCACCATGCCCAGAAGAGGTTGTTTTCGCACTGACTGGCGCTCCAGGCTTTTTCTTTCAAAGGGCTTTTTAGTGGTAGTAGCAATGCTCTCCGGAAAGAAGGTGAAGACTTGCAGTTGCTGGAGGACTCTACTATGCTCTTCTTGGAAGATGGCAATAAGATTCCCTTCCCTGCCAACCACTTGCAGCAGCTGAGATAGAGGAAAGTAATATTAGACACAAGTCAGAAAAGGACAATTGAAAGTAAATTCTGCTCAGTATTAACCCACTGTATTCAGAGTAATCATGATGATAAATTGGATGGTTCCAAAACAGTGAGGATTACTTTTCCTTTCTTCCATGTTAGTGGAGAGGTAAGCAATATTAATAATTCTACCATGCATCTCCTCCAAGGAGCACTTTAGAGTTCTGTATGCTCAGTGAAAACATGTCTTAAAAGTGAAAAAGATGGGAGAAGAAAAACAGGAAATGCCGTGCTCTTTCCTTCCATTCTCATGGAAAGCACCAGCCAAGCCAGCCCCTCACAGCTTCTGTACTTACTGAGAACAAAGGCTGCAGCTCCTGCAGTGCCAGGCGTACAAAGTCACAGTGAGCCTCAGCATAGCTGCGTAGGCAGCTAGTGAAAAGCTCCTTGGCACAGCACTGAAATTTGGGCAGTTCATCCAGCAGCTGGGTGTTCAAGGCCTCGTAATTGTTGCGTGCTGACTGTAATTCTTCCAAGGTCCGTTTGTCCTTCAACCTCTCGGCCCGCTCTGTGCACGTGTGGAAATCCAGGAGCTTATCAAAGCGTTTCTGCACCAGTTTGTGAGGCCCAGCAAACATATTCAGCAGCTGATTCAGAGGGGTAATCACCAGGCGCTCAGTGCGCTTCTTCTGTAAAGCAGAGGGCAACAATCACACCTAGGCATCATACTGCAGCTTTTCCCTCTGCCAAATTACTTTGATGGATTCAGTATGAATTGAAGGGGGAAAAAATCTTCCATTAACAAAATAATCCCTTTCATTTAGACTACTATTATGACCAAATAGATTCTTATTTGTTTGTCATGTATGTTTTAATGCAAAGTAGAACATAGAATAATAGGATTGGAAGGGATCTTAAAGATCTTCTAATTCAATCCCTGCTTGAGCAGTGGACAAATGACATGAAAGCTATCCAGTCTCCTCTTTCTTTCTATCTATCCTTACTCCCTGAATGTAAGATCTCCTACATTTACCAGAAATTTTGAAACGATCAAATGTTTTCTCCTCTCCATTTCCATACTATTATTTTTCCAGCAAACTACATGCCCAGCTGCTGTCTAAAGTATTTTAGAGCTTTCATGTTTTTTCAAGAACATTTAAATATTGCTAGGAATTCTGTAATTCTGTACCCTGTAGTGATGGTGGCAGAAGTAGCAGCAGCAGCAGTAATAACTTTTTGTCCTTCAGATGATTTAGATCATAACTTCCATCAATCCCAGCCAAAATGACCAGTGAACTAGAGAAAAGGGACCTCTCATCAAAAACCTTTGGGAGAGAGCAACAGACTGAGAAGGATGCTTAGACAACACTTTATTATACCCCAAAACCGGTTGGGTCTACTGCCTGGTAATCTTTAATCTCTTCTAAACAGAGTTGTCTTCCCAGTGTTTCTGGTAGAGGACGTTCTGGTAGCTTTCATATGGAAGAAAGGAATAAAGCTCTCACTCACAAAATCAGAGAACAGCTGATCACTGATGAAACCATGAATCTTCTGGAACTGCTCCAACTCGGCACTACCCTTCTCCATGCACAATTCCCACATGCTCAGTGCTGCTGTCACTTTAACACTAGCTGATTCCTGAAAGCCAAAAAACAACCACCATCACCATAAGTTTGGCTTGAAGTGTGCTCTTCTACCAACCAGCTCCAGAGGCAGGCATCCTCTTGAATTGTGGGTCTGCCCATTATACAAGCCTAGCCATGGGAGAGTCTTCCAATCCATTGCTTTGACACTCCTCAGCCTTTATTAGATGACTGATACCACAATCTTTCTCAAAGGACTCTTCTCCCTTTACCCAGACACATAGACACACAAAACTTACTTACCCGGACATGTTGAAGGTAAAGGGAAAGATCCCGGATAAAAGATTTAATCAGACGCTGCTGCATCCTGAAATTCTTTTCAGTCTCCTCAAAAGCCTCATCTTTGAGCTGCCAGAGAGAGGGTGGAAGGGAGGGAGAGAGACGGTGAACCTTCTGAAGGTTCCCACAGTGTCAAATCCTTGTAATCACCTTAAAGCGTGTGAACAAAAACAACTCTTATTCACCTGGGGAGCAAAACCTGTGAGATGTTTCAGGTGACTGCTGACCCGATTGGATTTCTTGATTATAGAGTGGAAATTAAGTTTGGAGATCTTCTCAATCAGGCTGTCATCATCAGTCTTCCTGTACTTCAACACTGAAAAGGAGACAGAATTAGCTCCATACTGGGAAGTCGTTAGCTTGACCTTAGGACTATGCTTTTCCTGCGTCTTTTGCTACAGATCTCATCCTCACCATCTCATTCTAATGCTACCCGAGTGTTACTTTTAAACTGGAACAAGACCATCAAAGCCAGTGAGCACAGCATAGTTATATTAAAGTTTAATGGGTTTTTTTGTTCTTATTCCCAACACCCACAAAAATAGCTTTTCCCAACCCAGGTAGGACTTTAGATATGTGGACTTCAATTCACACAACTCTCAGATGAATCCGATCTTCCCAACTTGGTCTATACTTCATACCTACTAAAAATAGAACTCAAAGAATACAGCTCTTTGCTGGCTGAAAAGTGTTGTGGAGAAAGCAAGCCGCCCCCCCACAGCCACTCACCTGGTACAGGTAATCTTCAGGTAATCTGAAACAGGTAATCTGCAACATCGCACAGCCCCTTCCCACTTATCCACACTGATTGTATTACTCCTGTGTTGGTTGCCCTGCAGCTCACCTAGATCTTTCCGGCGCTTGTACTCGTTGAGGTTACCATTGATCTCCTTGACAGCTAAGACAGCAGCTGCCAAAGGAGCACGATCAGGGTGCGACTCGGGAGTAGCACTCAGGAGTTCCATCAGGAGCAATGGATAGCGCATCACACGCTGAACAGGCTTGATCAGGAAGGAGCCCAGGTCAATATAGTTGGTGCAACCCCTGACAGTGTCGGAACACAAAGGAACATTGAGAATCAAGTGACATCTGGACTCTACTGCTAAAAGTACTGCACTCTAGTATTTATTTAGCATATGGCATATCATACATTGACTAGCAATGTAGATGCTAATATTTACATGCACTCTAGTAAACACTCACCTTCAAAATTGGCTTCTCTCTATATCCTAAACTATTGCATCCAAGTAATTCCACATCTTATCAAGCCATTTTCTTACCAAAACCTCCAGGCCTTCGCAGCTAAACAACATGCCACCAGCGATCCCAGCCACAAAATTCTAATAATCTTTACATGCATCCTTTTCTCCGGCTAAGGTAACAATACTCACTTGCTGACTAGTTGCAACTGCTCAATATCTAGCTATTCATCTTGCCAGTCCCAATCCTATCTCACTGTCCTCAGCCTAAGCAGGCTAACATGGCTGTAAGCTGCCTGCTTCTTTGAATCCCGACTGTGCAAATGATTTCAGCAGTTGTCTCCTACAAATGGCTCATCCCCCCATTATATTTATAAATCCTTTTCTTCTGTTTTAGACATCTAAACAAATAAGACAATCATATATAAAGATGCTTACCATTCAGTGTACAGACTCCTGGCAGGCCCACAGCAGGAAGAAAAAACACAGAAGAAAAAATAGATGATGAGAGCGCAGTTATTTTATTTGTCTTGCAGCCTATTAAACTGCAGTGAAATCAGCAGATGAACATGTCAAGCAGCTACTCTATGCATCCCTTCTACTTTAATTCATAAGGTCACAATTATGCTAGGCTAAGAGATACACACGAGGCAATGTCTCAAATACCACACAAGCACAAACCAGCAGTTTATCTAAGCAGCTTAGAAGTCCACAAGGCTCTTTTACCTGAGGATCTCCAGAGATTCCAGCAGAAGCCTCTGTACCCTTTCATCCTTTTCATAGGCCTCTAGAAGTGCAATAGCTTCATCATGGTTCTGGCAATATACCTTATATACAGCCTCCAGCTCAGCCCGTAGCTTCAAGAAGACTGGCCCTTAGGAACGCAAATAAATTAATGTAGTAGCATATAGGCAGTATCATAGTGCTTAGATTAAAGAACTAAATTATTTATTTTTATAATTTTTATAAAACACATAAAAAGCATCAAGCATTCAATGATAAAACAATTTGCTTACATAATAATAAAATAAAATAATGCAATATATACTGTAAAAAGATATGCAGGCCAATATAAATATCAGCTAAATATAAATCTAGTAATTCAGGAAATTATAAAATATTATGAACCTTATGATAATTGATTCTAGTCTTTTTAATTGTTAATTGTAATGTTTTTATATTTATGATTTGATGACAACATAACTCACTCAGTCATTTTGGATTAGTGAGATGGGTAACATCTAAATTTAACAAATAAATATCTAAAATGCTTGTTGGTTTGTTTTGGTTTGTTCCTGTTACAAAAAAAATTCTTGCATGGAATTCTTCATCACACGGAATCTCAGTTGTAAAATATATTCCGGGCTACATAGATTTGTAAACAATTTCTACAAAAATGGTAAGAAGTATTATTTTAGTATTCTCCTTCATACTTTCTTTCCAAGAAGAAAAATGTACTCCTGATGGCCTCTTTTTTCTGTTTTTAGTCCCCCTATTGTACTGTATGAAATCATATTTTAAGAATTTTGGTGACTATGGATTATTAGTAAATACTGTATTAATGCTGATATCTCTGAAGGAAAAACAAAAAAGCCAATCTTTGTATTTCTTAATGTAACAGATGTGATAGGAAACAACCCTAAAGTTCAATGAAGAACACTATTAATATTATCTAAGAACATTGCACCGGGCAACATCTTCTTTAAGTGATCCACCTGAATCAGCATGGGACTCCGGGTGGGGTTCCTTCTATCACAAAATATGCTGCTTTTCCCTATTCATCTTGGACATCACAAAATACAACTCAGTTGAAACTTGAACAACTGAGGTCAAATATTATTCTAGCTTGATTTATTTTCTTAAGTTACCCAGTTTTCAGTTTCTTATAAAAAGAGACAAGTTCTTTGTCTATTATTTGCTCTGTAATCCAAGCTTCCACTCAAATTAATGGAGGGGGAAGTCAAGCACTGACATAAAAAGGCTCTGTTGGATGAAAGTAATCCCTCCAATTCAGAGTACTACAGTATATAAAATCAATATATTTTTTTGCGGGGAACGGGGGAAGCACTGATATCAGCAGGCTGGATTAGCTTTCTCCAATATGGGTGCCATCATAAAGTGTAAGCATGAACTTCAGAATTCTTAGAAGTATTTTTTATTTATTTATTTTATTTATTTTTGTCAATTGCTTACAAGGTAATAGGTACAAGTAAAAACATAGTTATGAATTCATGGATACGTATAAGAAAAATAAAAAAATATATAAAAGGACCAATAGGACAGAGACGGTAGGCACGTTGGTGCGCTTATGCACGCCCCTTACAGACCTCTTAGGAAAGGGGTGAGGTCAATAGTAGGCAGTCTAAGGTTAAAGTTTTTGGGGTTTGGGGAAGAAACTACAGAGTCAGGTAGAGTATTCCAGACACTGACCACTCTGTTGCTGAAGTCGTATTTCCTGCAATCAAGTTTGGTGCAATTAACCTTGAGTTTGTATCTATTGTGTGCTCTTGTGTTGTTATGCTTGAAGCTGAAGTATTCACTGACAGGTAGGACATTGCAATGTATGGTTTTATATACTATACTTAGATTGCACCGAAGGCGGCATAGTTCTACGTTTTCTAGGTCTAGAATTTCGAGTCTGGTGGCATAAGGTATTCTGCAATGAGTAGAGGAGAGGAGAACTCTTCTTGTAAAATATTTCTGGACTTTCTCAACTGTGTTAATATCAGATACGTAATGTGGATTCCAGACTGATGAGCTGTATTTGAGTATTGGTCTAGCAAATGTTTTGTATGCTCTAGTTAGTAGTGTAATATTACCAGAGAAAAAGCTACGTAAGATTAGGTTAACAACTCTTAATGCCTTTTTGGCTATGTAGTTACAATGGGCTCTAGCACTTAGGTCATTTGAGATGAGTACTCCAAAATGTTTCAGAGTTTGGATCAACAAGGTCTTGACTATTCAGCCTGTATTTTATTTTCTGATTTTTTTTTTGCCAATATGTAGGACAGAGCATTTATTTGTTGAGATTTGAAGTTGCCATTTGTTTGAACATTCTGATACATAGTCAAGGTCTTTTTGAAGGGTAGCAGTATTGTCTGTGGTGTTGAATAGCTTTACTTCATCAGCAAAGAGAACGCAGTTGCTCTTGATATGATCACAGAAGTCATTTATATAGAGTATGAAGAGAGTTGGTCTAGAACACTGCCTTGGGGGACACCACTGTTGACAGGTACAGAATTTGATAGGACTCTCCCAATTTTGACCATTTGTTGTCTGTTTGACAGGAATGCTTCTATTCAGTTATGCAAGTCTCCAGAGATATCGTAAGATTTTAGTTTTAGGAGTAGTTTGTCCTGTACCACTGAATCAAAGGCTTTACAGAAGTCTATGTAGATTGTGTCTACTGCTTTGCTCTGATCGAGTTGTGTAGTCCATATGTTTTTGCAGTGTAAGAGTTGCAGATTACATGATAGTTTTTTTCCTAAAACCAAATTGTTTATTAGAGAATAGATTGTTTGTCTCTAAGTGGAGGATAATGGATTGGTTAATAATTGATTCCATGGCTTTACAGGTGACGCAGCATAAGGAGATTGGTCTGTAATTTTCAACTAGACTGGGGTCTCCCTTTTTGAAGATGGGGATGACCGTGGCTTGTGACCATAGTTTTGGCAAGGAGCTGGTCCTGAAAGATTTTTCAAAGATTATGTTTAGAGGTTCGGCTATGGCAGTGGGTAATTGCAGATTGCAATTACCAGAATTACCATCTGGAGGATTCAAGGCTGAGGAAGGCTGACTTAGGCATCTGCTAAGCAAGACCTACCTCTAATAATTCTCCTTCCTTCCAGTCAGATATCCCACCAGTAAAATTAAAGGTTTCCTCATCTAGTCGTGGCCACTAGAGGGCAGTGCTCACCTCTGTTTCTTAGCTGAGGGAGCCAGTATTGTCCAAAGATATTTCTGTGGTCATGCGGCCAGCATGACTGTATGCTGAGGTCATGGAACTTGGTTACCATGGAATGGTTATCACAGAACACTGTTATCACAAGTATCAATAGGTAAAACACATACCAATAGCATCTGCGGCTTCCAGGGAGCTCAACAACTTCTTTGAGAAAGCAATTACCCCACAGATGTTCCCAAACAGCAGTTCACAATCTACATGTGGCATCTAGGAGGAAGCAAAGGGCAATTTGTCCCAGGGCAGACTGTTTTCATATGGAAATTCATCTTGTGACCTTTTCCCATTGAATATAAAGCAGTGCTATAAAACAATAATAAATACTGTTTGAGCACCAAGGATTACACCCCGTAAATCCAGACTACCATCATCATTGCTGGTATGGATACTAAGAACAGCTGAAAATGGCCCTTTCAATTCCAGAGCACATAATTCCTCTGCAAATTACAGAGAAAATACCACTTCACGATCTCTGCTTCTCTATAAAATTATAGAAATACAATTAATTCAGCTCAAGTTAGCATGCTGATACCTTTCCTGTCTTCCTGAAATCTGCAAGTGATCTGATTCAGCATTACTTAATAAACTTGGATTGAAGTTTGTAATGTTTCTGTCTTTTTATGATTTGTTTTCTATTGTATATTGCCCAGTGATATCCATGAGACGGGCAATTATATAAATATGGTAGATATAATGATAGATAAAATAAAAGAAGAAAAAAAGAGGGAGGGAGGGAGGGAGGGGGGAGAGAGAGGAGGTGTAATTTCTTGCATTATCTCCAAAAATGCTACCCAGTGCTCTAACCACCCTACTCAGTGGCTCACCATGACTCAATCCTGTTCTGTACCTGATGAAAAGCTACACATTACTCTCACCTGTGCCTCCTGTAACGGCACCAGGACCTTCTGGACACACATTTCAAGATCCCGGATATAATCCTGTTCCGTCTGCAACAGTTCGGCAATGACTTTTGCTCTCTTCTCCAGCATTCTTTGTTCCGGGTTTGGTGTGGTGGCTGCGGGAGGTGCCGACTCCAGTGATGTTGACTGGGACGTTAGCAGAGTCATTTCTGAAAGAGAGTAGGGCAATCAGGACAGAAACTCGGGCCCAGCAGCTCAATATAAAGCAGCAAAGGGTAACTGGAAGGCTCTCAGCCGAACGCAACTTACACAAGACCATCAGCTGGCCTTTAGCAGATAAAAGGGTCTTTTAGTCCTGAACAGCCTCTTCCCATAAGCTGCGCTACCCACGTATTTCCTGCCTTCTCCCACTTGTGATTAGTCTGAGGATTTCAGTAAGTGATGATTGCGTTAGTAGAAACAATTAGGATAGAGAATGAAAGTCGTCCTCTAGTCCTTGACATTGGCAAGGGCCAAGTATCAGACAGTTGGACAAGATTTATACCGGGAAGTTTGTACAAGGTTTTCCATCTAAGATCTATAGGTAACAAATATATTTTAAATATTTATATAGCTGCCCAAACTCTGGACAGCTCACATAAAAAACCCATCCATTTACAATAAAAATATTGAAACCAAAAACATATATTAAAACCTGGCACCTATAGCTAAACTTTCACATGCAGCCCACAAGTTCATCTAATCAATTTCACTCTACCCCTTGGCTTTAGGGAAAAGCCAGCTCTTCAGTGCTTTTTGGAAGGTCAGAAGGATGGGCCTGCCAAATTTCAGGGGGAAGATGTTCCATAAGGCAGGGGCTGCCATGGAAAAGGCTCGTTTCCTAGGTTCTGTAAGAGGGCAATATTTAAGGAAGGGCAGGTAGTAGGAGTGCGCCCACCCTGTCTGATCTGGAAGGACAGCCAGGTGTTCTTAGGGAGAGGTGGCCCTGCAGAAAACCTGGTCCCATGCCGTATATGGTGTTAAAGGTAATGACCAGCATATTGAACTGCACTCAAAAGGAAACTGGGAACCAGGAGTAACCTGCACATTCCACCACATTTTGGACTAGATGTAACTTCCGGGTGGCCTTCACAGGAAACCCCATGTAGAGTGTGTTGCAATAATCCACGTGTGCAGTGGCCAAGGCTTGAGGGACTATGAGCAAGACCTCACAGCCCAAAAAAGGCTGCAATTGGGGTATAAGATGCGTATGTGCAAAGGCCTCCTCTGTCACAGCTGCCACCTGTTCCTTGAGCAAGACCTGTGAATCTAAGATGTCCAAACTACACCAGCTCAGTCCAGAGGAATGGCACCCCTTCTAGAGTCAAAGATAGCCTGGAGGTGGTCGAAACCGCATAGCCACTGAATCTTGCCATGGTTGAGTCAAAACCAATTCCTCCACACCCAGACCCTTACAGCCTCCTGGCACTCAGCCAGCACTGCAAGAGCATCACCTGCCTGGCAATGGATAGCATCAGTGTACTGATGGTACTGCATCCCAGGCCATTAGATGATCTCAGGTAAAAGTTAAAAAGGAGAGGTGATGGTCCTAATTCCGTAGTAGGGCTCTCCTAACAACACTGTCTAGAAGTTGCCATAAGGGATGAGAATTTTGCAAAGCACATATTTATACTGATATTATTTACCATACAAAATAAGAGAAATGTCTTTAAAATCTGGGTAGATGGTGTCTGACCAGAGCCAGTTTGGTGTAGTAGTTAAGGAGCTTGACTAGAAACAAGGAGGCTATAATTTCTAGTTCTATCTTGGCCATGAAAGCCAGCTAGGTGACTTTGGGCCAGTCACTCTCTCTCAGCCCAACCCACCTCACAGGGTTGTTGTTGTGGGTAAAACACGGAAGAGTATTTTGTATGGTCATTACCTTCTGTTACTTATAAGGCAATAAAGATGGAATGAAAATCTAATAATAAGTAGCACCAGACTAAGTACTGTATGTCACTCCATTTTTTAAAAATATACCTAGATATAATTTACTTTTATTTTAATTAAAATTGTAGTTTAATGACTGACATACTGAAGTGCAAGTAGAATGTAATGAATTTAAAAAGCAACAAATTCACCTATCCATCTTTTGTTTATTCCATGCAACACTGCAAGTAACCAAAAAGTATTTAAAGTGCTATATATGATAATTTTTAAAAGAAAAGGATATGACACAATAGATCCGTGATGGCGAATCTATGGCATGCATGCCTGAAGTGGCATGTAGAGCCCTCTCTCTGTCGCCCCAGCTCAGCTCTGCTGCGCATGTGTGTGCCTCCCACCGGCCAACCGGTCTTCGGGTCTCTGCCATGCATATGTGGGGAGCGGGTCACATGCAGGATTTGCCTGTGCATACGTGGGGGCACATTCCCAGGAGACACGTGTGCAGGGTGGGGCGCATGCATAGGGTGCATGAATGCATGGGATGAGCGTGCATTGCATTTGGTGTTGAAAAGGTTAGCCATCACTGCAATAGATGTATTTATTCTTAACTCAGTAGGAGTTATTTTTCAATTCATATTAAATGGAACTGGGCTATGGATCCATTGTAACAACTAAAAAAAAAAAAGAGAAAGGATCAAAAATATTAGGGGTGTTCAATTCTTCCTTCCATGTTCCTTATTTTTTCATTCCAAAAATGAAATCAGGCACTATAACAAAATCAGAAGTTTTCATCAATGGAAGCAACACAATCCTGATTTAATACTATCCTAGAATGGAACAGATGGATCACTATTGTGCTGACTTCTGCTTGTCTAGACTTAATGAAACACTGTTGTTGTCTGGGAGACTGGAGAGAATGGGAAAGTGTAGACATAAATACTCTTTTCATGTATGTTATTCAGCTTTGTTGGGGTATTTTCCCACGTCATTATAGTTGTGCTTTTAAAGTTGTAGCAACGTTTCGGCAGAATCTCATCTGCCATCTTCAGGTTTCTGTATGATGTGGGAAAATACCCCAACAAAGCTGAATAACATACATGTAAGTACCTGCGAAAACTTAAGAAAACAAATACTCTTTTTGTAGCAACACACTAAAGAGAATACCACCTCAGCTCTGAAACTGCTTGGAAGTCTCTTGTTTAATTTTTCAGCACTCTGTGTGCAATGGACATTAAAAGAATGCAAAACTATCCCATGACCATCCTGAGAACAATGGTTAGTTGTTGTAAGGCTTGAATGCAGCAATTAATGTTAAGGGTTTTTTAAAAATATTTTTATTAAATCTTTAAAGAACAATAACAGGAACTAATACAAACCAAATTAGAACAGAAAGGCAAAAAAGAAATAGAAAAAGTGAAAAATGCAATAAAATAAAAAAGCAGAAAAAAAGCAGTTAAAGATGTTAAAGACAAAAAAAGTTAAAGATGTAAAGTTACAATGAAGTAGCTTCTAATATTCTTCACTGCACATTCTTCACTATTTTAAGTATATTTTATTATTATATTTTAAATATTTTATACTTTTAGTTTGTCTGTCATAGCAAGTTTTGTCAATTTCATTATTCCACCATGGTGGATAGTGTCCAATCTTTCTCTCTGCCTGCATGTGGTACTTTGACTTAGAACCTGTCACTTAGAGACCATTTAACATATGAAATGTTATGAAAACTGGGAGTTGTGACCCAGTCTTGAAGTTCCAATGGTCATTGGCCTCCATGGTCACATTTGGCAATACAGCCACATTTATGGCCGGTTACTTCTGGTTTTAGGTAAAACCGATAATGGGTCTGCTTAATGACCAAACGCTTAATAATCGCCAGAAAAAAGGTCATAAAATCAGGTTGGTCATGTCCCAACGTTTGACCCTAACAGGCTGACTCAAGTTATATTTCAAATTCTGCCTTATGGTAAGTCTTTTTAGCCATTTTGAATCTTTCTGATAACTGTAAATGGGAAAACCATTGCTAACTGTATTTTTCTGCTATAGTTGCTCTCTTGATTTAATCTAATAATTGATTTTCTAATAATTCCCGGGATATCGTCCATTTGTCTTTGCCTGCTTCTGTGAAATGCTTCTTCTGCTGAGATCCAGAGGTGTTCTGGAGGCAGCCAGGGTTTATATCTATTTCATATTCTCAACATGGCACATCTAATAAAATGATTTTTAAAATCCACATTACTTTTATCTTGCCATAATTATCCACATCATCCAAATCCCAGGTTATGATCTTGTAACTCTAAAAGTCACTTGTTTCACAGCAACATACATTCCTTCACCCAGACAAAACAACAAATTGCAAAATACATTTTCCAATCCAGTAACGCCACTCCTCTTCTTTGTTTTGCATCCTGTAACACCTTATACTGTATTTAACTAATATCTAAAGTTATATGTTAAGTATGTTTTTGTCATTGTTTATGGTACTTTGATTTTTTATTACAGAAATTCTCCCTAATAATGACAAATTTAATTTCTTCCATCTTAACATATTCTTAATTGCATGTCTTAACAATATACAATTCATATTTGTCATAAAAATACATAAGTACTTTTTCATTTCTCTTCATTTTTCTCAATTTTGATACCAATTTTTTTCCCATCGGTTCTATTTCACTTTTTAATTTCATAATGTTTGTTAACATCTTTGATTTATGATTGCTAATCTCTAAACCTGCTAGCAAACAAAAGTCCTTCAGTTTTCCCATTAATGTTTCTACTCTCTCTAGATAGTTCTTCTGAGACTAATACCAGTTCATCCACAAACACCCTTAATTTATGAGTTTCTTAATTCCCCTGATTCTCTGATCTTGTCCTATTCAATACTAATCAGGAACTAAAATGAACAAGACTAGAGATGGCAACCTTGTCTCGTCCCTTTTTGAATCTCAAAAAGTTTTGTTAATTCTCCATTACAATTATTTCTGATTAAATGGCTAAATCCTACCCATTTAATAAGTATCAGCAAGATTCATGTTTCAGGACTCTTTAACAAAACAAATTCAAATTGTCAAAGGCCTTCTCTGCATCTAAAAATACCAATGCAACTTGTTTTTTAATGTTGCTCCAAATACTTTAGCATATCCAAAATATTTCTAATATTATCTTGCAATTGTCTTTTAGATAAAAACACACATTGATCTTCATGAATATAAAGTTTTGTAAAATTATTTTAGCTTTTCAACAATGATAAAGAATTTATAACCATTATTCAGTAAAGATATTG